GGAGCGGGCGGCTCCGCTCAGGCGCCGCTGCCAAGCTGAAGCGGTGGAGGAAGGGCCACAGCAGCGACTGCAACCCCGAGACCCGCCAGCATCGCCTGGCCGCCCGCAGCCGCTTCTGCAGCCGGCCCGCGGGTGAGGGCAGGGAGGGAGGTGGGCAGGGGCCCTCTGGTGCGGGCAGGGGCCCTCTGGTGCGGGCAGCTCTCTGCCTGTGCCCGGCTCGTCCTGGCGGGGACTGCGGGGGCGCGGGGCGAGCCTTTGGGTTCCCGGCTCCCGAGAAGTGGGGTCGGGGCAGGAGGGCCGGGAGCCACTGGTCCCCGAGCTGTAGCCCCGCGAGGCAGAGGCAGCAAACCGGGGAGAAGAAAGGAGCCCGCGGCGTAACGAGTGTGTTCTCATAACCTTCACCGTGATGGCGGGCCTGGGGAGTGAAACGGGGCACGGCCTGCAGCAAAGCCTGTCGCTCTGTCAGGGCCTGGTGCAAGGCCCTACCCGCAGCCACCAGGATAGGTGCCATCCCAGCAGCTTGACCTCCTGGCAGGCTCATGGCAGGAGCTGTTCGGCTCCCAAAAGCCCGTGGGTACACCTGTAAGTGCTGCTGTGGTGTCTGACGCAGAGAGGGACATGACAGAGTCCTGTCCAGAAGACCTTGTGATGGCAAACAGATCTCAGCATTGTCATCTGCAAGTTTGCAGCCAAGGCTGCTTTTAGCCAAAGACATCTTTATCCTGCGAATAAAGAAACATGTCTTGCAGCACACACTGTCCTCTTGCAGCTGTTTTCAAGCTGGTCTGGAACTCTGAGGGATATGAAGTGTGTGCCTTGGCATGGGCTCCAGGTGGAAGAAGATAAATGGGTCAGAGTACAAGTACCTCAGTGTTAAAACTGTGGTACACCAGGACATGTTTGTGAGCATGGGATGCTCTCCTCCATCGGAGGAGATGCCTGGGTTGTGTCCTGGTTTGTTTTCACAGGAATGAGCAGCTCTCCAGCTATTGCTGTGCTTTCTCTCATCTGGAGGAAGCAACATCTGTGTCCCACGTGCTGGAGATGAGCTCCAGCCAAGCCAGTCTGGCTGGGAGGGGAGGTGGGTTTCAGGGTGAATGGCAGAGCAACACAACTTCATGGTTCTGAGCATCCCTCTTCATCTTGGCAGAGAAAAGTAACTTGACAGTGGATGCGGTGAAGCTGCACAATGAGCTGCAGTCGGGATCTCTACGTTTGGAGCAGACGAGTGACAGTGCTCAGCTCCATGTGGAGGAGGATGATGCTGCGGAGGCCGCCACGGAGAGATCCTCTGGAACCTTCCTGAGCGGGCTGAGTGACTGCACCAATGTCACCTTCAGCAAGGTGCAGCGCTTCTGGGAATCCAACTCTGCTGCTCACAAAGAGGTATGGGCTGAGGCAGGGCTGGGGGAGTCTGGCGGGAATGATCCCCTCAGATGTGAGGCTGAGGCCACTGACCTGCTCCACTTGCTGCTCGTAGATCTGTGCCGTGCTGGCGGCCGTGACGGAGGTGATCCGCTCGCAGGGGGGCAAGGAGACTGAGACAGAGTACTTTGCAGTGCTGGTGAGTGAGGGTTGTGGGGAGCTGCTGTTGGCAGCATGGGTGAGCACCCATGGGTGGGTTGGTGGAGGAAGGTGCTGTGCTCATAGCCGAGGCCCTGGGTGTCCTTCAGCAGAGATGCTGTTGGGCTGCTTCTGGTTTCTCTGCCCCTCTCCCCAGTGGTTGGGGAAGGCCTGGCCTGGTGTGAGCCACTTGCTAACCCTTCCTCTGTTCCCAGATGACCACGCTGGAGGCAGTGGAGTCCCCTGAGTCACTGGCTGCTGTTGCCTACCTACTTAACCTTGTCCTGAAGCGGTGAGTGGCTGGCAGAGGAATGGGGAGAGCTACCTGGCCCCATCATAGAAGAGGGGATGGTGCTGTCCCCCCTCCCCAGGCTGGTGAAAGGACCCCAGGCTGGGGATGCAGTTCCCTGTGTGACTGTCACCAGCTGCCTGCTCCTCACCCCACTGACACACCCCCTTCTCTCTCATCAGGGTTCCAAGCCCTGTGCTTATGAAAAAGTTCTCAGATGCCTCAAAAGCTTTCATGGGTATCGTGTCCTCGCAGGCCTGCAGCAGCTCCACCTCTGCCCTGCGATGGGTGAGTAGCCAAGAGTCAGCCAGACTTGCCAGTTCTGGCCAGGGGTCTGCTGAGAGCTAGGGTTGAGGCTGCTGCTCTACAGTAGTACTGGGGGGGTCTCTTTAGGGTGATGCTAACACCCTGCTGCTCCCTTGTCATAGGTCCTCTCTTGCCTTGCCACGCTGCTGCGGAAGCAGGATTTGGCAGCCTGGAGCTATCCCGTCACCCTCCAGGTCTATCATGGCTTGCTGAGCTTCTGTGTTCATACCAAGCCCAAGGTGAGCTCCTGGTGCCCCTCGTGAGGGATGATGCTGCCTTTGGGGCTCGTTTTTGGGACTGGCTGTGCCCCTGAGGTCTGTGGCTTCTACTCACCTGGGCTCTTCTTCCTCCAGGTGCGGAAAGCAGCACAGTATGGCGTGTGCTCTGTCCTGAGGGGCAGTGAGTTCATGTTTGGAGACGCAGCCCCTGAGCATCACCCTGCAGCACCCTCCACCGCCAAGTTCTGTGTGCAGGAGATCGAAAAAGCTGGAGGTGTGGAGTGCTGGAGCAGGGGATCTCCAGCTGATTGTGGGGGGGCCCTATGGCTGAGGGAGAATAAGTACTTTAAGGGAATTGGGGAGGGTATGAGACACCTCTGGGGCGTTCTCAGCTATCTGTCCGTTGCTCTGCTCTTTCCAGTAGTTGGGGGGGTGTTCACGCCGGCTCCATGGATCAGTCCCAGTGCTGTCACAGGGGCTTTGCCACATGGTACCATAGGCTCAGATCTTGCTTTGTTGCAGGCACCAAGGAGGCGACCACCACCCTGCATGTCCTCGCCCTGCTGCGGGACCTGCTGCCCTGTTTCCCAGCGGCCGTGGTGAAGACCTGCTGTGAGACCTTGCTCCGAGTCATGACCCTCAGCCATGTGGTGAGTGTCCCCACACTGGGGATGGCAGCCTCTTTCCCCCTCAGCTGTACCCTGGAAGGGCTTGAACGCCCTTGGCTGCTGGCTGGGAGCCTGTAAATGCAGGATGCAAAAGTGGAGGAGCCCGGGGCAGCTGGTACTTGCTGGCCTGCCTGCTGTGCAAGAGCGAGGCTGAAGACAGGCCACAGTTGCAGCAGTACTGGGCTTCCCGGGGCAGAGCCTGCTTTGGGGTAGGGGGACCGTGGGTGCAAAGCAGAGCCACCTCTGCTGACACTATGTCCTCTGCAGCTGGTGACAGCGTGTGCCATGCAAGCTTTCCACAGCCTCTTCAGCGCCCAGGCCAGCGTGGCCTGCCTGCCAGCTGAACTCAACGCCCAGATCATCACCGTGAGTGTGGGGTGCCAGTGTGGGGAGGGCTGGCAGTGCCACAACACTCACCCCCTGTCTGCTTCCCCAGGCCCTCTATGACTATGTGCCCAGCACGAGTGACCTGCAGCCACTGATGACCTGGCTGTCCACCATGGAGCGAGCGCACATCAACCTGGGCAGGTGCAGGCAGGGGCCACGGCTGGGCAGGGGTAGAAGTGGGTGCTTGGTCTCTCACCCACCTGATCTCACTCCTCCAGGCTTCAGAAGGACCTGTGCTGGGCTCACCTGCCCCGGCTCTTCTCTGCCACCATGAACTGCTTCCTCTCCCCACACTCCCAGGTGGTGGTGGCGGCGGCACAGACCCTGGAGGTACCACATGCGGGTGCTTGGCTGCCCAGGGCCTCGTGGGGTGCTCTGCCCAGGGGTTTAGGGCTTGCTGGGGAATGGTGTGCCCCTCTGGGCCTGCCAGGCTGGGGGATCCGTGGTCCACTGCTGTCCCATTTTCCCCTGTTTGCTCTTGCAGACCCTCCTGAGCGAGTGCATTGCTCCCCACATGGAGGACCTGGGCACCGTCTCTGCATCTGCCCCAGCCCCTGCTGCCTACCTGTGCAAGATGTTCAGGTGAGGAGTGGTACTGTGGGAGAGGCTGTCCCACAGCCTCTAAGCCTGGCAGCACTTTAAGCAACCTCTGCCCAGTCCCCAGTTTGGACTGGCAGGCCTGGTGGGCACCTTGATCGCTGCTGGGTTAGCCCCCACCTGCGTGACTGTCCTCTCTACTTCCCAGGTCAGTGGAGGAAGGCCTGACATACCGTTTCCACGCAGCATGGGATGAGGTGCTGCGGGTGCTGGAGGTCTTCTTTGAGACATGTGGGAAGCAGTGCCACCCCATTATGAGGAAGGTGAGCCAGGCTGGGAGGGCACAGACTCATTCGTGGAGGTGGGTGGAGTGGCTGCACTGCTGCCTGGGCTGCATTGTCCTCTCCAGCTGTGGAGCAGGGACATCCTGGTGCCCGCTGTCCTGCCCGTGTGTGGGCAGGATGTGTGCAGCTTTGGGGCTCGGCGCAGAGACATGCAGGGCAGCTGGCATCCCTGGGCAGGCATAGTGAGTGACACATGCCAGGCCTGCCTCCGTGGCTCCTCTGTGACCGTCCTGCCCTGTCCTTGTAGTGTCTCCAGTCCCTATGTGACCTGCGTCTCTCCCCACACTTCCCCTACACCACTGAAGTGGATCAGGCAGTGGGGGCTGCCGTGAGCACCATGGGCCCCGAGGTGCTGCTGGAAGCCGTGCCCCTGGAGATCGATGGCAAGGAGTGAGTGCAGCCACAGGGTAGCAATTCTGCAGCTATTTGTTACATTCCTGTTCAGTCCCCATGCGGTGCTGGAGGTGTTTGACTCTGCTGAGCCCACGTGTGCCCAGCTTTAGGGCTGAGTGGAGGTGCCCTGTGCCCAGCGGCTGCTGCTGGCACTGCTCCACACTCCTCTGACCTGTGCCTTCCCTCCCAGGGAGACACTGGATTTCCCCCGCAGCTGGCTCCTGCCAGTGCTGCGGGAC